TTATCCCTTTTAAGCTCCGGGTGGCCATATGTAAAACGGACTCTGTGATAGTATCCACTGAACAAAATTGCCATGAAAATTGAATGAAATAAAATAAGGTCAGAACTCAGTCGATGGCGTGTGTGCCTAAGCTGGGACATTATTGGTGCTGAACAGAGTATACCCATAGGCGCAGTGGCAGTTCAGAGGTGCAAATGAACTTGAAAAGTGTTGCCTGATGTAGCACATCTCCCCTAAGGTATTCTTTACATAATCAATGCACTGGGGGAGCTCCACAGTCAGGGTTTTACTGTGATCTGTTGCAAAAGACTGTGCTTTTCATTTGCTTGTCGGGCTCAACCAGAGTATGTAGCATTGCAGCAAGAACAAGAAAAACACAGGGGAAAAAATCAGTGCACCGAGCCAGGTTTCCCAAGACCCCTTGAGAACAGTAGACATCTGCCTCTGGCTGCCAAGTTCAGTGGTGGAAGAGACAGCCTGGCTTATCATCTTATGCAATGAAATGAGTTACACACACGTTTGTTCCCAGCCCAAATTCAGAAGCTAATCTGCATCCCAGCTCAGTAATTAGTAGGTGACAGTTTGGCGATGTGAGCCTCCAGATGAAAAAGTCCAAGACTGGAGGCCGGCGCAGGGATGTCTGGTCCTGGCTTCCCCGTGGCCGGGCAAGCCCGGTCCATCTGCCCCTCCCAGCTCCTCCCGCCCTCACTGGGGTTTGGGCAAAACGGCAGGGGCTCGGGAGCTTCCCCAGCTTCAGCGCCAATCTCCAGAGGGCAACGACAGGGAAATTACCCAGGCACACGCTAGGCCCTCTGGGAAATCCTTGCAGATCTAAAAAAGAAGCACACTGCACAGCACAGGCAATAACATGAAAAGGCAACCTACAGAATGGGAGAAAATATTTGCCAATTATACCTGATAAGAAATCATATCCAAGATTTGTAAAGCTCTCATATGACCCAGTAGCAGAGATACAAACAACCTGATTTGATTTAAAAAAATGGGCAGAGCAACTGAATAGACATTTTTCCAAGGAAGATGTACAAATGGCCAACAGGTCCTCGAAAAGATGCTCAGCATCACCAGTCATCGGGGAAATGCAAACCAAAACCACAACGAGATACCACCTTACATCTTTTGGAATAATTATTATCCAAATGACAAGAGATGAGTGTTGGCAAGAACGTGGAGAAAAGGGAACGCTTGTGCCCTGCTAGTGGGAATGTAAATCGGTGCAGCCACCATGAAAAACAGTATGAGGGTTCCTCAAACATTTAAAAATAGACCTGTCCTAAGATCCAGCAATTCCACTTCTGGGTGTATATCCAATGGAATCAAAACCACTGTCCTGAAGAGACGCCTGTGCCCCCTTGATTCTCGCAGCATTATTTGCAACAGACAAGCTGTGGGAACAACCAAAGTGTCCAGCAATGGGTGAGTGGGTAAAGAAAATGTGATAAGTATATACACATGCACATACCTACGCTGGAGTATTATTCAGCCATAAAAAAGAAGGAAATTTTGCTGTTAGCAACAACATGGATGGACCTGGAGGACATTATGCTAAGTGAAATAAGTCAGCCAGAGAAAGACAAATATGGTAAGACCTCACTTACGTGTAGAATCCCCCCCAAAAACAGACTCACAAAAACAGAGAACAGATTGGTGGTTTCCAGGGGCAGGAGATGGGGGAAATGGGTAAAGATGGTCAAAAGATACAAACTTCCACTTATAAGATAAAGAACCTCTGTGGACACAATTCAGAGCATGGAGACTATAGTTAATAATACTGTATTGTATATTTGAAAGTTGCCATGAGAGTAGAACTCACTGTAAGAAAATAATGTGTAACTGTGTGAGGTGATGAATGTTAACTAAACTTGAAGTAATCATTTCACAATATATACATGCATCAAATGATTATGTTGTACACCTGGGTTATATGTCAATCACATCTCGATAAAACTGGAAAAAATAATAAAATAAAATAAATAAGAATAAAAATGCTTGAAGATAACTTTTTAAAGATTTTATTTATTTATTTTTAGAGGGGACAGGAGAGAAAGAAGAGAGACATCAATGTGTGGTTGCCTCTTGTACAACCCCTACTGGGGACCTGACCCGCAACCCTGGCTTGTGCCCTGACTGGGAATTGAACTTGTGACCCTTTGGCTCATAGGCAGGAGCTCAATTATCTTTATCAAGGGTTAAAGGTAATTTTTAAAGAAGGAAATACAAAAAGAGACTACAGCAGAAGCAGAGGAGTCGCCGGAGCCTGCAGAACTGACCGTGTAAGAGGAGTGGCGTGCTGGGCTAGCTCAGCTGGGCTTCCGGAGAGCCGATTGTTACTAAATTCAGAAATTTTGCAAGCCATTCATTAAACCATCAGCAGCTTGAGATCAGCCCCAGTGGGAGTGTATTTGCCAGGAAAATTGGCAAATGCTACAAATCAGGGCTTCCCCCGCCCCTCCAGAACTGGTTTATCAGCTTCAAGGCAGGCCAGGGGAGCAGGTCAGCATGCAGCCCATGGAATCACTCAGACCTAGGTTACAATCCCAGCTCCATCGCCTACTAGCTGGGTGACCTTGGGCACGTTACTTAACCCCTCTGAGCCTATCTCTCTGTATGTAGGTAGCACCCATGTATGTGCCAGGTACAGTTCCCAGCACTTTAGACATGTTACATTCATTGATTCCTCACAGCAATGCTACAAAAAAGAACCTTACAATCCCTTTTCAACAGATGAGGAAAGTCGAGGCAAAAAGAGACTAAGGAGCCCTGGCCAGTGGCTCCATTGGTTGGAGCATCATCCCAGGTACCAAAACGGTTGGGGGTTAATTCCCAGTCAGGGCATGTACCTCGGTTGCGGGTTTGATCCCTGATGTTTCTCTCTCACATAGATATTTTCTTCTCTCTCTTTCCCCACCCCCACCTCCCTCCCTCCCACTTCCTTTCTTTCTAAAATCAATGAATGTATCCTTGGGTGAGAACTTTTTAAAGAGAGAGATTAAGGAATTCAGCCATGATCCCACAGCTGGTAAGGGGCTGAGCCAGGTACCAGACAGGCAGTCTGGCTCTGGGTGTCCAAGCTTTTGGCGTCTCTGGGCCACGCTGGAAGAAGAAGAGTTGTCTTGGGCCGCACATTAAATACATTGCGACATGCAATTACAAAATAATCTTATAATGTTTTAAGTAAATTTACGATTTTGTGTTGGGCTGCATTCACAGCCATCCTGGGCCGCATGCAGCCCATGGGTCTGCAGGTTGGACACCCCTGTGGGCCTGCCCTCTCACCGTGCAGCCTGCACTGCCCAGCACGGCGGTAGCCACTGGCCACACGTGGCTATTGAGCGCGCGAAAGGTGGTTGGGCGGAACTGAGATGCTCTGTCGGGTGAAACACACACTGGATTTCAAAGACTTAGTATAAAAAAAAGAATAGAAAATATCTCATTAATAGTTATACTGATCACATGAGGAAATAATACTTCGGACATGTTTGATTAAATAAAATATGTTATTACAAATAAATTTACCTGTCGCTTTTCACTTTTTTTAAACTTGGCTACTAGAAAATTTTAAATTAATTTAAAATTTTAAACTATAACATGTGACTCACATTATATTTCTACAGCAGAGTGCTGTTCTGTACTGATCTCATAGCTTGGTGTAAGTATTAAATCAATTAATACAAGCAGAGCACCAAGCACTGTGCCAGGAAAAATTAACAGCCACTAGCTATTCTTAATATTAGTGAGATCATTGGTTTTCAAAGCTCATAGTCACATTTTTTCAAGCAACTTCTAACAGATAAGGAGGAGTGGTCTATTCACGCTGGGTACCGCCTCCACAGGTTGGAAACCCACAAGGTTCGCCATCTTTTTGTTTTTTCTTTTATTGATTCTAGAGAGAGGGGAAGGGAGGGAGAAAGTGTGGGAAAGAATCATCGATCGGTTGCCTCTTGCACATGTCCCAACTGGGAACCGAACCAGGCATGTGCCATGACCGGAAATCAAACCCATGACCTTTCGGTTTGCAGGACGATGCCCAACCAGCTGAGCCACACCGGCCAGGGCCAAGGTTCACCACCTTTAATTGTCCTTCAAGTTGTGGCATTGTACATCTGTACTTTCAGGAAAGGTAAGGAGGTGCTATCAGACAAAGTCAAGGTGTCTACGCCAGTGCTTTGAAAATGATCGTGCATCTCAAATGCTGTTACCACAAAAAAGAAATGAGAATTCTGTGATACAATAGAGGTGTCAGCTAACACTACACTGAGGGTCACACTGCAAATATACACGCGCATCAAATCCACACACTGTGCACCTAAAACTTGCACATAGGTATATATCAATTATATCTCAATAAAAATAATTAATTCATTGAGTAATTAAACAACAAAACAATTATCACAAAAAGGTACTATGATTTTGCTCAGGAAACTCCAAGTGGCCTGTTCCCAGGCCTAGACACTGTCCAGAAAGCAGGGGGTCATGCATGTGAGTGGGGAGAGGGGGTCACCTCTGGGACCCTGGATCATTACCTGCACGTGCTGTATCTATGCAGGACGGCACCTCCCCACTTCTGCTCCTGACAGCCCACCGGCTCCCCAGCCCTGCAGACCCCGGGGAAGGCTCTAGCCCTGGCTGCAGGCCCACAGATCACCAGGTCTGACTCCAGGGAAGGACATATGCTCAGTCCAGACACGACAAAGGGTTTGCTGTCCCAAAGGCAACTCGGGGCTCCGTCAGCCTGGCGTCTGCGAGACAAGCCTCCCAGCTCTTCCTGCAGCCCTCGCCCTGGCTCTGGTATGTGTGTGGGGATGGGGCCAGCAGCCAGCTCTTCGCCGGGCTCTCTAACAAGTTCCACGAGTCTGTTTGTTAAAGAAAAATTCCAGTGGGTGCATCCAACACATGGAACTCAAGTACAGAATTTATATTTATCCGCCCCACTGCCAAGGAGATCACATGCCCCGTGAGTCACTCCAGATGTGCTCAAAAACAGAGTCTCTCTGTGGCAGCCCAGTCCCCTAATCCCAGCGAGAGTCGGAACCAGAGAGGTCCCCACTCCCGTCCCCCAGGAGGCCGTCTCCACCTCTACCTTCTGAGGAGGGAGAGGGCATCCGCTCTTCTGAAGACGGAAGGGTGGTGAGAACGGTACCGTCTCCCGGGGAGGACTGGTTCGGGCTCACCTGTGGCTGCTGGGCCCCCCCAGGTTTGAGGGCAGCTTCTCTCCCCCCTGGAGGAAAGGATGTGTTGGAAGCCCCTGCTGCTCCTGCTGCTGTGCTGCGATGCCCAGGCCACTGTGCCCCACAGGTGGAGCAGGGGTGAGTTGCTCTTGACTTATTTGTCTGATGCTCATCATTCTTTTTTAAATACAATTAAGAATTTGGGGGAGGGGTGTCATGAACAGGGGAAGGAAATTAGAAGCCCCACGCCCTCCTCTGCTGGTTGCTTTCTGCTTGTTGACGTGTGAGAAGGTGCTAGAAGGTGAGGGGGAGATGATGGGGAAAACAGTCCCCGCGGCTGAGGGCACTTGAGCATCCCTCCCTGACGTGCCAGGGAGAAGTCAGCCTTGTGCACAGGCTCCCTCGAGCTGCCCCGGGGCTGCTGCAGCTGGGCCGGGCGTGCCCAGGTCTGATGCTGACACGATGGGACTGTGGGTGCCTAGGGGCTGCCTGGAGAGGCTGACCAGGAGTGGACACATCTTTCCAGCCAGGTAGAGCTGGCCCAGTGACAGGAGAGGAAGGGGAATTCTTCAGCATCCTCACGCCTACCTGCCTGCTGCCCCCACCGGCCACCAGTCCTCCCCCTGTAAAGGGAGGGGCCCCGGCACCAACGTGATCCTCACGGCTGACTTCCCTCCCTTCGGAGGTAGCTCCCCGGAGCTGGTGTTTCTTTCCTCTCTGCCCCAGGACCAGCTCCAGGTGGCAGGCGGTGGCAGCGCCTCCAGCCAGTGAGAGTTTAGCACTGTCAGGAAGCGAGGGGCCCAGCGTGCTGGCCGGGCTTTGCTGATCCGAACTGAAATCTTTCCTCCCACCACCTAAAGTCAGCTGAGGTCTCTCTCCCAGAAAGAACGGGGAAAAGAGGCCAGGCGCATAGGTGCTTCTAGGGTCCCAACCGGGCTGAAGACTGGCATGGTGGCGTGAGGAGGAGCCTCTGACCCCCAGGCAGAGGAATGTCGGGGAGGAAAGACAGACCATGTGGGAGCAGAGTGCGTGGATGGGGAATGGGGGGCGGGGGGACTAGGGCACTGCACTTACTTGGGGGTTTATTCCACCTTTTTCAAGCTTGAGACTGAGGACTTGCCAGTTCGCTGAGCTGAGCAGGGAAGTGACCGTTGCCCTGGGGCAAATAAGTCCTGTCGCCCTTTCCTCTATTTCTGGTGAGACCATTACTCACCCACCCTCCCTGCTCGTGGTGGGCACACACCCTGGGGGCGACCCGTGGAAGCAGAGAGCAAAGAAACTCTGCAGTCATGTTCTCCCCTTGACCCCGTGTGACACGGGGGGTTTTACTTAACTCGCCTATAAAAGAGGGGGCGGGGAGGTGATAAAAGCCAGTCTCCCAACACACAGCTGCGAGAAAGCCAAATGAGGTGGTTTGATTGGTAACGAGGCTGGTGAACTCGATAACTGCGCGGTGAGCTAGGGCCGGAGGAGCTCAGGCAGCCGAGTTCTGCCTCTAACCCGCTGTGACCTCTGGCGCGTCTCTGAGCTTTAGCTCGCCAACAGGTCACGTGTTAACGGGACCAGAACTTCCCTTCTCTGCGCTGTTGTGAGGGTCAGATCCAGAAATGTCCGTAGAAAGCTTTGTAAACGACGAAGCGCTATGTATGTGTTAGCCACTTAAGAGTGAAATAATTGCGTTAAAGAAAGCTTAAGATCCTCAACAGACATCTCTACAGCCACATCCCGGCCCCACCCGGTCCTGGCTGGGGCAGGTCGCCCCCATAACAATCACAATCTTCGCAGAGACCGGCGGCCGCACAGCAGAACCCGAAGCCCCGGCACCGCCGCTGATAAGCCCTAGATTAGCGGTTCCCGTCACCGTCACCGTGCAGTCAACAAACGCTACGGAGGCCCCACAACCATCCTCGAAAGTCTTCCCATAACCTATCGTGTTTCACGCTTTTTTTTCTCATTTTAAAAGGAATACCCACCGGACATCTTTTTTCAAAGACGGGATGGGGGTCACACCCAAGTAAAAACAATTTTTCCGCGTGTCCTCCCTGTTCCCTTCACCTTCATCCCCACCCCCCCCCACCCCCGTGCGGGGCCTCTCACTTCGGGGACTTCCCTCTGGAAACAGTCTCGGGGTGACCGCCCCCCTAGAACACCCTCCTCCTCCTCTACAACCCCGCCGCACCCCCACACCGCCACCCGGCTTCCACCTCCCTCTCCCCCTGCGCCCACGAGTGGAAATGTGGAAATCAACCCAAACGGAATGCACCCTGCGGTCCGGCCACCGCTTTGCCTACCGGGCAGGCTCGCTGAGAAGCGCTCTCCAGGATTCGGCCTGGGAGGCAGCTCTTCGCGCGCCAGAAGCGCTGCTCCAGCCCCACGGACTTGACTGAGTGACTCACCTGTGGTCAGCGGGGCCAGCCGCATACTGGACACACCTGCTGGCTCACGTCCCGGCCCGCGCCAGCTCCTGCCACAGCAAGGCTCCAGGGGCTGGAGGGAACGAGCCTGTCTTTTTTTTTTTTTTTAAAGAAACCTATGCCTTAATGACTATGTAAATATCTGTTTTTATGAAATACATATACATTATTTCCTTTCAAAGCAGTTAAATAGGGAAGGGAAGCCCTGCTGGTATGGGGGGATTTAGGTCATTTTCAGGGGTCCATTTCAGTGTGGTGCGAGTTTTCAGTCGTGAGGGCCTGCCGTCAGTGTTGAGTGAGTATCACCGGCCTGGGAGCTGCGGTACTGAGTACACTCGGCTGCTCCAGAAGCAGGTGCTATTCCGCCCACGCACAGACAGTAAAGAACCCTGGAGTGAGGCAGGAAGCTAATGTGCCCGGGATCGCTCAGCAGCAAGGGCAGAGCTAGACTCTGGCACCCCCCGCCCGCCCACCCCAGGCCTGTAGCCTCAGAGTCTCGCTGTCCTCCAGCCCTCCCGGCCCCTCCCAGCAGCCAGGCCCCCCTGGGTGGTGAGGCAGTCTGGCCAAAGGGAGCTGACTCACAGAAGCCCTTCCAGAAGCACTCCCATTGGACCCCAGCCCCCGGGCCAGGATCCTGGCTCACTCAGAATATCACTGGGTTTCTAAAGGGCTGGCCCAGGAGCCAAAGAGTACATGACATCAGTAGGGCCTGGCAAAAGATCTTTTATAAACCGGAGTGTTTCCTTTCCACACCCACTGCCTTTTCCATAGAGTGGCTGCAACTGATTCATTAAAAATATGGTTGTATTTTGGCCTGAAAAGGCCCACAGTTGGAGTCCTTTTCAGCAAGCTCTTTGGTACAAACACTGTGTGAATTACAGCAGAAATGGTGCTTCGCCTTAATGCTGCTCTGTCACAGGGAACCTACTGGGCAATGGGAGGGAAGAAGAGGCGATTTTTATCCCAGACTATGAAAAGTCGGAGAAAGGCCAGGCTCAGAGTGAAAACAGCTCCTTCATTTAGGAAGGCTGCTGCCTGTACGTCTGAGCCAGAAAGCTTGGATGGGCTCAGGCGCTGGGGAGACAGGTGCTAGCCTTGACTGAGAGCATTAAAAGTAGCTTCTCCCAAGCCCTGGCTGGGTAGGTCAGTTGGTTGGAGCGTTGTCTTGTTACACCAGGGTTGTGGGTTCGATCCTGGTCAGGGCACACAGAAGAAGCAACCAATGAGTGCATAAATAAGTGGAACAACAAATCAATGTTTCTGTCCCCCTCTTCCTCTCTCTCTCTAAAATCAATAAATTTTTAAAAAATTGTTTAAAGTAGCTTCCCCCAGGCCAGACCAGGGCTCCTCAGAGACAAAGGCAGGGCATAGGAATCAACATCTACTTTCTGGTAATTAGCTGGGACCTATCACTGCAAATAAGTTCTAAAAGCGCCCTGAGAGAGAAAGATTAAGTGACACACTCTGTTTGAAAAGGATGGTGACAAATATAGTTAATGTGTTTCTACGGAATCATATATTCATTCAACAAACAGTCATGAGCGGGATGCTAGCCCCTGGGAATACAGTGACCACAAAGGACAACATCCCTTGCCTTCGTGGAGCTGACATTCCAGCCAGGGGAAACAGACCACAGACACATACAGAAACAAAACGTCTGGTTTGTTGGGTGGCAATAAAGTAGGGACAGGTTGAAGGGTATCAGGGATTATAATTTTTTCATTTTTTAAAAGATTTCATTTATTTATTTTTATAGAGAGGGGAAGGGAGGGAAAAAGAGAGGGAGAAAAACATCAACTAGTTACCTCTTGTGCGCCCCCAGCTGGGGGCCTAGTGTGCAACCCAGGCATGTGCCCTGACCGGGAATTGAACTGGTGACCTTTCAGTCTGCAGGCCATCACTCAATCCACTGAGCCACACCAGCCAGGGCAAGTATTACAATTTTAAATACGGTAGTCAGGGAGGGCCTCCTTGAGGAGGTGACTAAAAACTGAAGGCAGAAGGAACAGAAGTGCAAGGGCCAGTGGCAGAAGATGCCTGGGGCACTCGAGGGACAGTGAGAAGGCCTGTGGCTGGGGTGGCATGAGTCAGGGAAGAAGAGCAGGTGAGTTCAGACATAGTGAGGACTCAGGTCATGTAGCACCTGGTGGCCGTTTGAAGAGCTTTGGCTTCTCCTCTGAATGAGATGGAAAGCCGTGGAGGGCTCTGGGTAGGGGAGTAACACAACCGACCTGTGTTCGCCCAGAAGCACTTCAGTTGCTGTGTTAAGAACAGAATGAAGGCAGGAGCCAAGAATGGAAGCAGAGGCACCATTCGGTGAGGGGCCCCAGGCGTGGACCAGGGAGCCCGCAGGGATGTGGCCAGAAGGAGCCAGGTTCCAGCTCTGCTTTGAAGGTGGGACCGACAGGACGTGCCGATCAGTCGGACGTGGGATGCAAAAGGAACAGTCGAGGGTGGCTCCCAGGTTTGGGGCCCGAGCAACTGGGAGAGATGGGGAGGCTCAGTTGAGATAAAGCAGGAGACGTGTGCGTGTGGGCACACGTGTGGGCACGCGTGTGTGCCTGGATCTGTGTGTGCATGGATGTGTTTTGGGAGCTGGGATTGGGCTGGGGACAAGGAGAGATAATGGTTACATGCCCAAAAGGAGATTTCATAGGCAGTTGGACATATGCATTCAAAAGTCTGGCCTAGAAATAAAAAGCTGAAAGTCAGCAGGGAAGTGAG